GCAAGGCTATTAAAACCTGCCCACTTGTCTTCCCAAAACCTCACTCTGTCACCAGTGCCTAACACCCATAAAATGTTATGAAGGAAAGAATCTTTTTGAGATATGACTGCATTCCAGAAAGAAGAATTGGATACACTGTAACTTCTGCTTTGTAAATTGCTACCTTCATGAACATAAAGCTTATGAAGAAATTCCCCAGATGTTGAGTTTCTAACTAGACACTTCCATAGCCATTTAGATAATAGAGAAGTGTTAAAAGATGGAATGTCTTTGACTCCCAAACCCCCCTCCTTTTTACTTAAACAAACTCTTTTCCAGTTTACTAGACATTTAAAGGAGTGAGTTTCAGATTTTCCTGTCCATAAGAAGTTTTTTCTCACTTTGTCTATTTCTTTGATAAGCCATTTTGGTAGCTTATAAAAGGACATATAATACAAAGGAATAGAGGTAAGCACAGAATTTAAGAGGACTAACCTCCCCCCATAAGATAGAGAGTTTTTTTTCCAAGAAGCAAGCTTCCTATACAGATTATCCAACAAGGGTTGCCAATGAGATTTAGAGAGTTTACCATATTTAAGAGGTAAGCCGAGGTACTTGATAGGAAGATGATCAACTTTGCAATTTAAAAGGGATGCCAGAGTTTCAGCTCTTTGAGGAATATTTCCAAAATATATAAGTGAAGACTTGGAATAGTTGATACTCAAGCCAGATAATTCTTCAAAGATATAAAGAATAGTTTTGAGGATGGTAATATCCTTGTAGGAACTTTTGACAAAGAGAAGAGTATCGTCCGCGAATTGAAGAATGCGCACTTGGTTGAGAGGTTCTCTGAGACTCAAAGATGATAAAAGCTCCTCTTCAACATTGTTAATAATCATCCTATTTAGAACATCAGCAGCAATGTTGAATAGCATTGGAGATAGAGGGTCACCTTGCTTCAGTCCTCTTTTACAAGAGAAATATTTAGAAGGGGAGCCATTTACAAGAACTGCACAATTAGATGAAGAAAGGATATGAAAGATCCAAGAACACCACCGACTACCAAATCCTCTAGCTTGCAATAACTCTATAAGAAAAGACCAGTCAATAGAGTCAAAGGCCTTGGCAAAATCAATCTTGAACATAGCAACTTCTTTTTTTCTTCTAGAGCATGAATGAATCATTTCATTGGCTTGGAGAATAGAATCGAGTGTAGATTTACCTGATTGGAAAGCTGATTGGGTAGAAGATACCAAGGATGGCATATGATGAGATAGCCTATTTGCCAAAATTTTTGAGAAAATTTTGAAGAGGCAATTGATAAGGCTAATGGGTCTGAAATCTTTCACCATGGAACACTCCTTGATTTTAGGTACCAAAGTTATAAAGACTTTGTTAACTCTATGGAGATGTGAGGGATCATGATAAAAGTAATGCATTAAAGCCTTAAGATCTTCTTTAATTAGCTCCCAAAAGGATTGATAAAAGGACATTGAGAAGCCATCTGGCCCTGGGGCTTTGTTGGAATTCATGCCAAAAACAGCTTTTTTAATTTCCTCCTCAGTGAACTGATCTTCCAAGGATAACAGAGAATTTACTTCTTGTGGATATAGAGTAGACCAATCAATATGCAAGTGATTATTCTTGCTCTTGCCAAATAAATCACTATAGTAATTATAGAAAGCTTTAGCAACTTCATTATTACCAATGTAATCTCTGCCTAAATGATTGATAGCCGCAATGAAATTGGATTTCCTATGGAAGGAAGCTGTTTTGTGGAAAAAAGAGGTATTAGCATCACCCTCTTTTAACCATTGAACACGAGATCTTTGATGCCAATATATCTCTTCCTCTTTGATCAAGGAAGTATAGGTGTTGTGAAGAATTTTTCTGTCAGAAGATTCCCAATCCGATAGAGGTCGCTGTTCCTCTAATAAATCAAGAGCATTGATTTTAGAAAGAATTTCTACCTTCCTATTTGGAATAGAACCAATAACATTCTTTTTCCACCATTTAAGTCTCCTCTTGAGGAGTTTCAATTTCAAAATGAAGATATCCACAGGGCTTCCCTGACCTTGAAAGGAATTCCAACAGCTAGATACAAAATAGGTAAAAACAGGGTTTAGAAACCAACTTCTCTCAAAACGAAAAATAGGTGGTGATGACTTTAAACCTCCACTATCAAGGATAATTGGAAAGTGATCAGAGCCTGTTGCAGGCGGTGAGAATTGAATACAAGAAGGAAATTTGTTTTCCCAAGCAGAATTAATAAAGAACCTATCAAGCCTAGCATCTTCAGTAAGAGGCCAAGACATCTGCCTGTCCACGGCCTGCCCCTTCAAGTGACTGAAGGAATATTGGCGTGGAATCGAAGGGATGTACAAACAAGCTCCACCATCAAAAGTTAGCCAGTGCTCCTCTCCAAGAGTCAGTATAGCGGGGTCCTCTACATGATCCCCGAACAAGAAGCTCGGCTTCTGTAAAGCCTGAGTGGAAGTAGAATCAGCGGTAAAGGTGGAACGTTCATCAGAGGACAAAGTAACATTAAAATCTCCACAGAGAATCCAAGCTCCAGGTAGAATGGATCGAATACGGTCTAATTCCCACCAACAAACTTCCCTATCTTCTTTATCAACAGGAGCGTATACCGATGTGAAAGTGAAAAACCAATTGGTTGGTTTATGGTGAAGATGAACAGAAACAGAAAAGATTCCCACATACGACTGAATTAAAGAGAAAGCATCAGACCATCCTACAAGAACTCCTCCTCTAGATTCCGTAGAATTAAGATGACACCAGTGTATGAGACGCCTACCACCTATTGATTGAAGCTTCCTAGGTGTAGCCGTAGAATTAAGATGACACCAGTGTATGAGACGCCTACCACCTATTGATTGAAGCTTCCTAGGTGTAGGATTGGAAATTTTACTTTCTTGAAGACCAGCAACATCAATAAAAGAACGAGACAAGAAGTCTCTAACCAAGCTTCTTTTAATTGGGTCATTAAGACCTCTAACATTCCATGATGTGAATTTCATTAAAGAAAACAGATATAACCTACCAACAACTATACCAACCAGACAAACAGTTAGATTACTTCTTCGTGCCTCTCTACCTCTTTATTTCTAAAAATATCCAGAGAATGATCCGATAGAGTGATCCCACAATTATCAGCAATAAGAGCAAAAGCATTTTTGCTTAGAGAGTTAATCGATAGAGCAGCAGAAGAAGATGAAGAGGATGCAGGTTGAGTACCTTTCTTCGAAGATCGAATTGATTTTTTGGAAGATGAAGCCTGCTTGAGAAA